ATGGTATTAAGTCAACCAATACCATCAGGCAGGAAACTAGGCGAGCAAAATCTTAAAGAGCGGTCCGGAAAGTGCAATGTAAATCCTAGAAAAGAAAAAAGAGCGGTCCGGAAAGTGCAATGTAAATCCTAGAAAAGAAACTGAAAATCCTAAGGGCATGATTTCATGAGGGCTCAATTCTGATATCCATACAGTTTACTCTGACTGATAAGAAAGGAACTATGAAAAAACAAACAGCAGTCTGGAGCGTCCATCTGGGAAACTGTGCATCTTGATGAAACATAAGTGAGTTCATAATGTACTAACTACTAAGATAAAGTCATGCCAGTATAACAAGAATCTTGGAGATAAATTCTACACCAAAGCTGGTGATATGAAATATTGTTGGTACTATCACATATCATGGTGGAGTCGTGACTTTAAGAATCTTCACGAATCACAAGCTAACTAAACAGCAAGGAAAAGACCCTTCCAACTCAACAATAAAGAGTGTTGTAGATATCAATAAGAGCCAAATCATGGTGCCAAGTAGCAAGATACCAGTAACCAGACAATCTCAGTTAGCAGGCATAACTTGGATTTCAGTGACCATAGTGACTGACATCTGAATAAGATTGAAGATCATGTGCCCGATGACACGGCAGACCGTAAGGGTTTAGCAGGAAACTGAGTGAAACCAATTTACACATCGTTTTGTAGCTGCAAAATCATTTGACAACACTAACTTCTGCATGTTGCCCACTTGCGAGTGAGAAAACATAAATGTGCTTGACAGAACAACATTGGGAAGTTCCCCGCCAGCTAAAATGCCAAAGATATATCATAAGACCATTATTAAGCCTCAATGAATGAAACCGGAATTAGAAAAAGAGTCACTAATAATAAGAGTAAATGAACAATTAAGAAAAACTTAAATTGGCAAAAACTAGTAGAAGCAAAAAGAAGAATGCAGAAGCCTACAGTAAAATTTAAAAAAAACAGTTGACAGCGCTGCCCGTGCACCTTCTAGTTATAATTTTATAATTCTCTGCCAAACTGAATTATAATTGCAAACACATAAATAAATATGTGGATATAAGATCTCCAAGTTTGAAATCACGCTGTTGGTATTAGATTTTTTTCATATTTATTAGCATTGTTAAAAACAATATGTTCAAAAAATAAGTGTAGCAGAAATGAGAATGTTGCAATAGTCTTGTAGGTATAAATTAAAAGATAGGATAAGAAATGAGTGCATCTGTAGTAAATTAGAGGTTGCGCTTATTAAGGATAAAATGAGAGAGAATAGATTAAGATGGTTTGGTCATGTACAACGAAGACCCCTTAGTGCACCGATTAGGAAAAGCGATAATATTAGAGTTAATGGAGGTAGAAGATCTAGAGGTAGACCTAGAATGACATGGTTAGAAGCAATTAAGAAGAATATGATTAAGACTAACTTAACGGATGAGATAACCCATAATAGAATGGAATGAAAAAATAGGATTCATGTAGCTGACCCTAAACATTTGGTATAAAGGCTTGGTGGTTGTTGTTGTAGTATTAGCATTGCTATGGGAATTTTTGCATTTTTGCAGTTTCAGATCTGAAATATCAGCAGATGAAATAAGTCAGTTAACTCAGAAGAATTCTATTCCTTGATTTTCCTTTTAGATTCCCATACATAATGCTATTACATCGATTATTCACTTTAAATCTTGCGATCTCAAGTCATGCTTTTTTTTTATTAGCTAATGATAACATGTAATCATTTTATTAGCTAATATCAATGATATCAGTTGATTTTTCTGGATTGGATCACGTTTAAAATCTGATAGTATTTGTGATTACTTGCTAGTATCAGCCGTTAAACCTTACTTTCTAATTGACACTACCCGCTTCAAACAAAAGATAAACAACAATGATCCTACTCATTGGATAAGGAATGATAATTGCAAAGATTTGTTTTTTGTATGTTTGTGTCTGTGTTGCAAATCAACTAATCAAGATGTCTATAAATGCTTAAGAGACCAGTCTGACCTTAATATCCTACAGTTCTGAATAGCTAATGCAGTTAGCAATATGAAAATTAAGGTTGAGGTTTCAAGACTGCTTCAAGGTTCTAAATTTCGGCATCTCCAAGAATCAGAATCATCAGTTTGCTATTTTCAGACCTAATTGTCAAACTTTAAGTACTCGTAGCTCTGAAAGGAGTGTCGACGTTCTTTAAAAAATAAAATAGTACTGCATTTTATAATATTCGTTATAACTAAGTGAACTGTCGACTAAGTTTTCATTACAATCATTCCAAATGCCGTTTGATTGACAAATTGAAATGACCAAAAAGTCCAGTCTACCTTTATTTCTACTGTGAAAAAGAAACTAGGTTAAGCTAACTACCAGCTAATAAGAAAAAAATAGCTAATTCATATGATACAGGGAAGAGAAGAATATTATTTAACCATTTCTCATATTAGAAGTTCTTATAAAATGAAAATAACCTCCTGATTGCAATAAGAAATAATAAAATAAACCAAGCCGTTACGACCATTAAAACCCTAAATTTCCAGTTAATTTCCTAAGATACTCTCACAAGTTCATAGAGATCAACATGAACAAAAAAATTCCATTAATCATGACCGACTTTAGATTGAAAGACCAACGAAAATTTCAAAATAATATTAAGAAAAGATCAAAGGATCGAAGATATACCTGAGCTTCGACAACCTTGCCGAATCGACTGAAGGCATCTTCGAGCTGACGATCTGTAGTGTCCCACGATAATCCCCCAACAAATATGCGAGCTTCGTCTTTGCTCGACATCGCAAAGATTCGATCAAATTAGGGCTCCCCCCTGTTCTATTATCTGAAGATGAAACAACAGAAAGGGGGAAAATTAAAATATAAGCTGATTAAAAACCTAAAAATTAGAAAAAGGGGTTGAAATGTTTACGCGCTGAAGAGAGAGAGAGAAGAAGCGGCGATGAAGAAGAGACGGATTGCCGCGACGAAAAACCCTAGATCTGGTAAAGACGGGCAAGCATGAGGGCCGTAAACGGGTCGAATCCGTAACGGGTCTAGATGGGGTTAAAACCGAACCGGGTTAGCTTAACGGGTTCTGAACGAAATTGGGTCGATATGATATTTACCGTATTCGTTTCACTCAGCGACAAATATGTATAAGGATAAATATGGGTAAGAAAATTTTATATCCGTATTTGCTAAAACCGAATATAGATATGGATATGCATACGGATATATATATGTGTGCGTGCAAATACAAAATAGATATGAAAAAACTATATAGTATTGAAAAAACATAGTTCTTATGATGCAAGAGAGCTTTTTTATATGTTCGTTATATCTCAAAAGCTAAGATTAGATATATTAATCATCAAAGTTAACTTCAAATCCATAAATCTAATGATTAAAACTATTACGACGATATGACTAATGTATATTTGGATATTTTAGATAAGGCTTCGGATATTTCATTGCATAACCACATTCGCAAACATATCATATCGGTCATAGATCTTAGTAACCATAATTGTATTCTAACAGGCATGGATATTTTTGTGCACCCAGCCGTATTTGAATTTTTTTTGTGGTTTTTTTACATGGAAAACACTTTTACTTTTACCAAATTGGTAGAAAGCATATTTAACTTTTTTTTTAAATCATCTTTATTTGATGTTACTGCTATAATGTGACACTTTTTACCGATTTCTACTTAAGAGCTATTTGGTTAACTTCCTAGAAATCCAGAAAAGTGAATTGGATGAAGAAACCCCTTTAGATGATTTATTTCATTTCAATTGGATGAAGAAACCCCTTTAGATGATTTTCAAGGCATTTCCTACCCAAATAAAATAAAATGGGTTTCCTATAAATAGAGATAAATCAACTAAAGAGAATATGTCAATTCATCCTCCCTATTGGTTTCCAAGTTGGAAACAAAAAGAAGGAAAAGACACCTTTTGTACCAAAAGTAGATGTGGTTTTTCTTAGAGTTGGTTTTTAGGAGATTTTCTTATTTGGTGAATCAAATAGACCCATAAAAGACAATTTCTTTCGAAAATACCCTCACCCCAAGCATCCAATGAGTACATTAGACCTTAACTCACCTTTAACTAGAGACACATAACTAATTGCATATGCAAAGCATGTGCTTTCCTCTTCCTTCTTTTTTATCTCCCTTCGTAAAATTGTGCCGTAATTTAGAGAAGGAAGAAGATGTTGAGAGGAGAAATTGACTTAAAATTGTGTGTGTGTGTGTGTGTGTGTGTGAGAGAGAGAGAGAGAGAGAGAGAGAGACTTGTGGGATTAATTTCAGAATATGATGATATATTTGAGGACTTATTTCAAAATATGATAATTTTGGGGACTAATATCAAATTGTGAAAAGGAT